TTGTCCGATCTCCATTGGGGCTAGTCTAGAATTTTCTCTAATGCTAGATGGTGCATCTCAGGTTCCAAGCACAGCCCCTCCCAACACCCACCCCGTGGGTAAAGCCTTTGGGGACCACCCCCTCGCCACCCTGTCTCAAGATATAATAGTCACCTCTTTTTTTCCCCCTAAAGACTGATGGTATCCTGTATAAGCTACTCCTGGTCTTCAGTTCTGGGGATCCTAGCCTGTGTTGGAGGGCAGTCACAGAGAAGGACACTGGCTCTCAGGAGAATTGGTGAGTGGCACACTTGTAGCTCTGACTTGGCTGTCCTGTGAGTCGTGGAGGCCTTGCTCTTATCACCTGGCATTTCTAAGTGCATTAAGAGCACCTGACGCCGGCGCCGTGGCTCAATAGGCTAATCCTCCACCTTGCGGCGCCGGCACACCGGGTTCTAGTCCCGGTCGGGGCGCCGGATTCTGTCCCGGTTGCCCCTCTTCCAGGCCAGCTCTCTGCTATGGCCAGGGAGTGCAGTGGAGGATGGCCCAGGTGCTTGGGCCCTGCACCCCATGGGAGACCAGGAGAAGCACCTGGATCCTGGCTCCTGCCATCGGATCAGCGCGGTGCGCCGGCTGCAGCGGCGGCCATTGGAGGGTGAACCAACGGCAAGGGAAGACCTTTCTCTCTCTGTCTCTCTCTCTCACTGTCCACTCTGCCTGTCAAAAAAAAAAAAAAAAAAAAAAAAAAAAAAAAAAAGAGCACCTGACATGGGTTGCTTGTGAACCCATAGGGTCTGCCTACCTTTAGACAAAATGCCTTGCCCTCGACCTTCTTCCAGTTGACAAAGCATTTGGCTGGCACCCTGGTTTTTTCCCCCTTTATACTATTTGTGGTTTTCACATTAGCCTTTGATTATAGCCAATATATGTATTGTCCCCACCCCAGTGCTTAATTTATTTTTATTTTTTAAAGAGTTATTATTCTTTAAAGATTTATTTATTTGTTTGAAAGTCAGAGTTACACAGAGAAGGAGAGGCAGGGAGAGAGAGAGAGGTCTTCCATCTGCTGGTTCACTCCTCAGATGGCCACAATGGTAGGAGCTGCATCGATCTGAAGCCAGGAGCCAGGAGCTTCCTCCAGGTCTCCCACGCAGGTGCAGGGGCCCAAAGACTTAGGCCATCTTCTACTGCTTTCCCAGGCCATAGCAGAGAGCTGGATCAGAAGTGGAGCAGCCAGGTCTCAAACCAGCGCCCATATGAGATGCCAGCACTGCAGGTGCGGTTTTACCTGCTATATCACAGTGCCGGCCCCTTAATTTATTTTTAAATGGTAGTTCCCAATAAACAAAATGAGCAAGCATTTCAAGAAAAATCAGGATTTCCAGGTTGTGTGGAGAAGTGGGAAACAGGGCAACGTTGGACCTTGGCTGTGGGTGGCATTGCCTTCCTGAGGGTGTGGGCGCGACAGCCTGGCTCCTGGGGGCTCTGAGAAATCCCTGGTGAAGAAGAGTGAGGAGTCCCCCCAGAATGTCCCAGACGTGCACCTGACTCCAGGCCTGTCCTGGAGGGGCTTCCAATGCAAACGTGAGCTGTGTGGGAGCTGGCTGCCAACGGTCCGCCCGGGGCCCCAGGCAAGTTTGCTGGGGAGCACTTGGCTGCCCTCCTCTCCTCCCATGCCTCTCCTTCTCATAAGTCTCTTTCCGGTTCAATTCTCTGCCTGCCGAGGAGCGCCTGGAGGGGCCCCACAGAGCCACTGTGTCATGGCTACTTCACCTGGTCGCATCCGTCTCTCTCCCCACCCAACGGTTAGCACCGTTCTCGGCTATCACAGATGTTCCCCACAAGTGGACATCTGCGCCGGAATCTGCTGAAACACAACTGGGTGGTGATGGAAGGCCAGGGCTGGAAAATGTTCTCGAGGATGCCCGGGGCCTGGGGGCGGGTTGAGGGGTAGGCTGAGAGAGAGAGCGAGCGAGCTGAGAAGCCAGAGCTGAGAGCAGGGGTTCAGGGACGGAGGCCCAGGCAGAGGCCACAGGAAGCGGGTGGTGTATTTGGAGGAGGGGTTGGGCATCGTGGTGGGGTCAGAGAGCTCCCATGCTGGCTGAAGTGATCCTGGGAGATTCCTTTAATCTCCTGTTCCACATTCAGTTCTTTGGAGAGTTTCATTGAGTCTCCTTTGTTTCAAAAATTTTTAAATTAATATATTTGAGAGGCACAACACACACACACACACACATGCATACAGAGCAAGCTCCTATCCACCAATTCACTCTTCCAAGGCCCATACAACATCCAGGGTTGGGCCAGGACCCAAGCCAGGAAATCCAGGCCTCCAACCAGGCGGGGAGCCATTACTTGAGCCATCCCCGCCATTGCCCGGAGTGTGCACTGGCAGGAAACTGGAGTCGGGAGCCGCAGCAGGGCATCAACACAGGCACGCTGAGGTTTAATCTTAACCACTAGACTAAATGCCTACTCTGAGTCTAGCTCCCATGTGCTTCCAGACTCCACTGACTTCTCACCACCTGCATCTTCAGGACCCTAGTCCAAGCCATATCATCTGACACCTGCGAGAGCCTCCTGCTCTGTGCCCTCCTCCATTTGACTCCAGATACTGTGCTCTGCTCTTCCCTGGCAGCTAGAGATACAAACTGCCCCCGGGCCTATGAAGACCCCACAGGACAGGACCCCCGCATTGTCTCCCATCGCATTCCTCCCTCTTTCTCTTCTATAATGCTTCAGACACATGAACTTGTTCTTTATCTTCGGAACATGGCTGGGGGCGGTACACATGCTGGCCTCTAATCGTGGAATGCTTTTCTTCTAGAACTCTCCAGGCCCCCTGTCCCCTGATAAGACACCTTCTGTGACTACGCTTCCGGGAACAGGATCTTCCCTCCACTGCCTCACACGGGCAAACATTTCCTCACCCCACACGTCTCTACTTGTTTTATTGACTGTGTTTCCCACTGGAAAATAAGTGCTCAATATACAAATGCAGGAGTTTGGCAGGCAAGAGCTGAGAGAGAGGGCAGGTGCAGTGGCGTAGTCCGTTTTGCTTCTGCGAAGCTCCTGGCTCCTGGGTTCAGATCAGCCCAGCTCTGGCCATTGTGGCCATTTGGGGAGTGAACCGGAGGATAGAAGACCTGCTTCTCTGTTTCTACCCCTCTGTCTGTAACTCTGCTTCTCAAAGAAATACATAAATCTTAAAAAAAAAAAAAAAGCTGAGAGATGCCAGAGTGCTGGTTATCTTGGGGGAAAGAGGTAATACAACACACAGAGGAGTTTTCCAACACAATAAGCACGTGATAAATATTCAGCTCGATTCCCTTGATGTATTTATAGTACAATTACTGTATGCAGATCAAATGCCAAGCATAGTTTGAGATAAATGACAATTAAACGGCAGACCCTGCCCCCTAGAAACTCATAGCCACAGGGAAAGGGAGAGGCCAAACCAAGAGCTACTTTGTGTCAGTCCTAGCATGATCTTCATTGCTCTGCACAAGGTGGGTTTTAAATATAAGCAATATGTATGCAAAATCAGTGAATTATAGGCAGATTCCATACTAAATCCACTTGCCGTCAGCCCAATAAGGTGAAAATCACACACACCCATGGCTCCCTGCTGAGTTCTGAGCCCCCCTGAGCATCCCCCCCCCCCATGGCTTCTTGGGCACTGCCGCCCATCCACGCATCCAGTCTCCTCTGCATCCCGCCCCCAGTCGTTGGGGCTGGAACATTCTGCAGAGCTGCCTCCTGACACGGAGACCACCCACTCATTCCTCTCCCTCACTGTTGCTACCTTGGTGGTCCTGGTCACCGCCCTCTCCTGTCTGGCTTTTCGGCAGCGCCTGCCCTGGCCCCCCCCCCCTTACCCCCACCCTCACCAGCCTTCCACCCGCTGTCCATAGAGGTCTTTTTTCACACACCAGACAGACCACTCCAGGGCCCTGGGGTCGATTTATCCCCAGCTCACGGCTCCGCTTCTCTCTTGGATTTGGGTCTCACAGAGATTTCCGGGTCGTCTAGCCGTCTCCCCACTCTGGGCCTGCCAGGGAGCTGTCTCCAGGGCCCGTGACGTATCACCTCCTCCGCCCCCTGCTCTGCCTCTGCGCCTTCAGATTCTACCCGCGTCTCCGTTTGAAACCCCTCAGCAGAACCTGGCCCGACCAACTCCGCCCCTCCCCCACGACACAAGGCTGGGGCCAGGACAGTCTGCACTCTGCACGTCGCCCCTGTCGCACCGTGTCCCCCGCCTAGACTGCAGGCGCCTCGAGGGCAGGCCTGTCCTGTTGTGCTCTGGCCGCCTGGTGGCTGTGTTGGCCCTCTGTTCCGCACGTTCAGTGAATACTGAATGAATGAAAAAGCACTTGCTTGCATAGGACTGTCAGTCACGAAAGAACCGGAGCTGCGATTTCCTGAGTGCGGATGAGTAAGTGCCTTACGACGCTGTCACGCACGCCTCATACAACCCCATTAAGGAAGGCTGACTTTCCCTATATAACAAACGGGGAAACCGAGGCACGGGGCGGCTGAGGAGCTCGGCCCAGCGGCCACAGCCAGGAAACGCAGGAACCGGGGTTAGAACCCAGGCTGTTTCCAAACTCCAGACTCCATCCCAGAGCGCAGCGCCAAGCTGGGGCTCCATTCCGCGAGCAGACCCTAGTCTCCAGCAAAGGGCTTTGTTTTTGCTTCCCGGAGAGGGCACGCGCTCCCGCGCCGCCCGCCCTCTCCTCGGCTCGCGGCTCCAGGAAGGGCTTGGGAAGGGCCTGCGCATCTCGCCGGCAGCCAGGAGTCTGCGCGCGAGCCCCTGCTTAACTTCGCGCGCCGCCGCCGCCGGGTCTCCCGAGCCGGCCCAGCCCAGGTCCTCGGCGCCCCAGGCCGCCCGCGCGCCCCCGCTCGGCCCCGGGCCCCGACCGCGCGGCTCGGGGGGCGGGGAGCGGGGGCCGGGGCGGGCCCGGGGGCGGGGCCGCGAGCCGAGGCCGCCGCCCTCGGCCCGCGCTCCGTCGCCCGGTGCTGCGGGCCTGGCTGGAGCCAGAGGGGCGGGGACTCGGGAGGGGCTGGAGCGCGGCTGCTGGTGCGGTTGCGGGCGGAGAGGAGGAAGCGGCGCGTCTCCCGAGGCGTGCACCGCACCGGCAGACCGACGGGCGCGCGGAAGGAGCGGGCCGGGGGCGAGGTCAGGCGTCGGCCGGGGGGAGCGGGCGGCGCTGGGGTGGGGGCGGCCGCGAGGGGGGCCTGGGCCCGGGGAGGGAGGCGTGGGGGACCGGCCGCGGCTGCTCGGGGTCGGGCCCCAGACCCCCTTCCCAGGCCGGTCGGGCACGAGGCGACCGCGCTCCGGCGGCGGAAAGCGGAGCCCTGGGCTCCCTTCTTCCCCGGCTCTTTTGCTTCCAATCAGCGTGAAATAAACACTCGGGAAGGTAAAACAATAGCGGGCCACCTGGGACGCTGCGCGCTCGGAGCTCCCACGGGCGGGGCGGGGGCCGGGGGTGGGACCGACAGCCGCGGCCGCCCCTCGGAGCGCCGTCCCGCTGTGCCCCCGCCGGGGGTGGGGCTGCCCGCGGCGCCGGGGCTTGGTAGGAGGCGACGGGTAATCCCAAGAGGGAAGCGTTTGGTCAAAGTATTTCAGGAACGATCGGGTTCCCCACGAAGGCTCTGCCCTGGATAGGCAAACTAAGGCGGAGGGCCAGGTAGCGATCTGCCCAAGGTCAGAACGCGGAGGCTACCTGTCCCAGCCCGGGAACGGGACCTAGGGGTCCGGCGCAGCTCGGTGGCGTCTGCCTTTGACAAATCTCTGCCGTGTTTGTTTCAGCAGTCTGCAGGCGTCGTGGGACCGCTGCCGGGCTGCCCCACGCCCGCCGGCCGGCTTCGTGCGTCTCGGGCAGGTGTCAGCTCCGTGGCCCACCACCATGGATGGAGACGGGCTGTTTGATGAAGAATCGCCAGCAGTGGATGCCAGCCAGGGTGCGTCGGCTGCCAGAGGTTTTGATCAAGCCTACCCTGCTCCTTTTGGGGAATCCGAATGAGGAAGATCGCAGGCACTGTCGCCCGCAAGCCAAGGACATTTCTGTATAATCAGTGGATGAAAGGATTTTCTCAGACTCTTTTATTTCCCCCTTTCCTTGAGGATTCATCCAGCGCAATCTACAATTCCAGTGGAAACCGCAAGGCACACGATGTGGCAGAAGCCTGGAGCACCCTCAGAATTGTTCCGGACCCTTCTCTTGGCATAGGGGAGTTTTCCCACGTGCCACCACTGCTGCTCCCCACCCCCACCCCTCCTTCTGATCTGTTCCCTTTAATCCACTTGCGTGTTCCGAGTTAAGTTCAATTTCTAAAAACTGCCCTCCGGAGCTGTGAGTGGAGTGCAAGAAATGAGAGATTAGGTGCTGGGGGAAAGAGGAAGCGCCTGCGTCCGGGCTCCTGGCGGCTGCCGACATGAAGTGCTTCTTGCCCGTGCTGAGCTGTCTGGCTGTGCTGGGTAAGTGGCTCCGCTTATCTGGGCGATCGATGTGAAAGTTTAACCTGCTTTTGCTTCCTGTAATTCCTTGTGGTTCTTTCCCATCAGTGGGAGGCCTTGGGGACACCAGGAGGCGGCCGGTGGGTGTCACAGGTTGGAATACAGTGCCAGGAGGATGTGGGGGAATACTGCTGTCTTTAGAAGGGACCATTTGCCATCCTTGAAGTGCCTGCCCTGGGCCTTGGGGTGAGGTGCCCCATCTGCGCGCACATGCATCCACAGTTTAGGCACTCGGTGTGGCTTGTGGGCTGCTCCTTCCAGTATTAGAAACAGGATACTAAGGGTGTTCGCTCTTGCATTAATTCCGGTTTGGGAAGTGGCGCCCTCGATCTCCCTCTGTCTTGAGTCGGTCCAATGATCCTGATGACACTTTCATTGTGATGAGAAGTGGCAGTGAGTGGGGTGTGGCTGGAAGGATGCTTTGCCCTACCTTCTGTGGACTCTGGGCTGGTAACAGCATTTGAGGATGCCAGTCACATGTCTTACCAAGGAAGCACCACTCATACTTCTGCAAGGAAGCCGGGCTTGAGGAATTGAAACTGACTGGTAAGGCATGCATTAGGAATGGCTTTTGGGATCATCTGAGTGTTTACAGAGGGGAGAAAAAGCTGTGGCCCTAGAGATTCACCCGTCCCCCTTCCCAACACGGTCTGTTCCTCTCCTGCCCCTGAGCATGGCCTTAGGCATGGTTTCCTAAGAAGTGGCCAGCCTCTGGGATAAACTCTAGCCAGACCTCCCACAGGAGCACACGCCCTGCCCCCAGTGCTGCCCCACCCTCTGCCTCTGGTCTTTGCATTTCCAAATCTTGGAGTCTGGCACGTAGGGAGCTTATCTGTGATCTGTTGGCAGTGGAGAGGGCGCCCAGGCCCGAACCCTCACGGGAGGTCACTGGTGTATGCGAAGAGAATAGTGGACTTTGGAGTTAGAGGACGTGCATTGCAATCCTAGCGTCCGAATCACCATAAAACAGTGAAGGGCTGTTGTACCCTTAGAGGATAAAAGGTGTAAGGATATACGTGACTGCCTTGAGTCACGGCTGGAACTCAAGCTGGTTCTCAAACTTGGGTGCCTGCTGGCATCACTGGTGATGCTCAGGCCACAGCCCCAGACCCATGACACCAGGCTCCCTGGGGAGGGGATGGGACCCAGGCAGCAGTCTTTTAGCTCTCCCAGGTCATTGCACGGGTGAGTCTGAGGACTGGCGTGTGAGTTCCTGCCTGCCAGCCTCCACTGCCAACTCACGTGGAACCCCAGTCTACAGAGTGTCTCTGTGTCTCCTGGATGTTCAGGCAAAGTCAAGAAGGCAGGTAGCCCTCCATCTGCTAGTCCCTAACACTGGATCTGTGTGCGTGTTGTACTGTGCGTGTGTCATTCGCTTGGTGTCTGGGTTTAAATCAGCAATTAGTGATTCATGTGGATTGAATGGGACACAAACAAGGAAAGCCCTCAGGAGGTTTGGGCGTGGGGCGGGGGTGTGTAGCGAAGACTGGAAAGAGGCTTGAGTGCAAGGGTGGGGCCCAGAGGAGGCCCAGGAAGCACCAATGGGAAAGCAAGGCAATGTGACATTTGTGCCTTTTGTTTCTTCTGGCTGCTTAAGAAATGTAAGGCTGCCTGCTGGTCCCCCTGCTGTTTGCTCTCTCTGGGCTGCTCAGTGCCAGCACTGGACGGGCGCCGTCCTCCTCATCTTCCCTCCCCACTCTGCTTCCCATGTAAACAGATGCCAGGAGGAAAATGAGCAAGGTGGCCTTCAAGGGGGAATGGCGGTGGCTGGAGGCCAGGCGTGGGGCAGAGGGGCACGGTTCGGAACTGTGGGCATTGCATGCTTTGGAGTCCCTCCTCCTGGTGGAACCTCACAATGGCTGTTAGCACGGCCGGGGAGGGGGCCTTGCTGCTGTGTTCTTGCCCCCAGAGAAGCAGAAGGTGTTTGGGGAAGGAAGAAAACCCGTGCTGGGGTCTTGTTTCCTGCTTGCCGGCCGTCTGGTGTGGTCCGATGCACGCGTCAGCATTCTTACTGGGGCATGAGTTACTGTGGTGTGCAAATGTGAAACAGCAAAGAATCCCCTAGGTTGTAAGCCTGTGTGGGTCACACACCTGGAAAATAAATTGGCTTGCCAAAAGTTGGACAAGACTCTGCTCTGCACAGGAGGCAGCCTCTGGAGGTGGCGATTTGAGGGAGAAGATCTGGGACGGGGTCCATGGAAGGAAGTTCTGGGATACTTGGGAACTCCTTGACTATCATTAGACTTGGGTTTTTCTTGGCCAGTGTCTGGGATTTGGGTCAGGTCCCTCTTGTTCTGGCTGTTGGGATACTAATTTTGCCCTTGTCTTTATCCTACGGAAGCTACTGGGCTTGTCCTGTGGACCACTGTTTCCTTCTGTAGGAGTTCTGGGTGCCACACCCACTCAGCTGCCACCACAGCCCTTGTTCCAATGCCAAAGCCTCTGTGAGCCCACGTCTGGTTGAGCCATGAGAATAGAGAAGTCTCTGCTACTGAGAATGGGTGGCACCAGAGGGGCAGAAGAGGAGAGATGGACAGGAGGGACTGATGTGACTGTGGCATGAGTGTGCAACAGAGGGAATGGGGAGGGAGAGTGGGAAAGAGGTTGGGGAGCAGCCTGGGTGAGTGACAGTGACAGTGTGGGGGAGAGAGAATGGGGTTAAGTCTGCAAGAACAGGAAAGGAATCACTGGGAGAGCTGATTGGAAGCCTGAGACACAGAAAGCACATTTCCATTTTGCATGGCCATGAAGAGTTTATACCCCGCCCCCCACCAGTGCTGAAGTTGCGCATAAGGTGGACTGGATTTTAAAAGTGTGAGCAGTGAGAAGTGTAGGTGATTGGGACCTCTCCGGATCATCGCGGCAGAGTCTGTAGACGGTCATGTTCATTGATGTTCTCCAAGTTCATTTGCGGAGTTTGGGGAGCCTCCGGTTCAAGGGGGACAGGGCTGAGGAAGTGATCACTTACTTCCCGGTTAGTTAGGGACAGCTTCTCAGGGGAGAGGCCAGAGGAAGCTTTTGAAAGAGATTGACAGGAACTTTGATGTAGTGATGGGCATGAGCTCAGAGGCGGGACTGGGGTGATCAAAGGCAGAAGAGCAGGAGGAAGTGGAGGAGAGGAGGGAGTGGTGTGGGGCAGGCGGGCAAAGGGATTTCAAGGGAAGGGACGAGGATGGTGATTTATGAATGAGGCAACACTGCTGTCCTGACACTTGTCCCAGAGGTAGGGCTCTCTCCTTTCCTAGGACCTTGGCCAAGGGCTCTGAGGAAGCGCTAGGCAGGCTAGGGTGCCGCTGAACTGTGAGGATCACTGAGCTAGCTACCTGTGGGCACCCAGAGTGCTCCTGCTGTGGCACTACGGCAAGACTCTTGCTATTATCTTAACAGTCGTCATACCAGCTCTGCTGGCTGCAGCCCTCACTAAGCCTAAGCAAGCCCTAGCTCATCCAGTCCTCAAAGCAGCCCTGCCAAATAGACTTCTCATGTGGTCACTGTGGAATAGATGGGGATGTTGAGGTCCCAGGAGTTGCCCTATGGTAAATTACTGCCTAGGATGATACGGTGCTCCACAGGGCCTGGGACCCAGGCTCCTTCTGTCTCATTCCATGTCCAGGCCCTCCATTCCCAAGGTCATCTCAGGGTCCGAGACAGCTACTCCAGTCCCAGCCATCGGGAGGAAGATCTGCGAAAGGCAGGCCTCGGGCACCCACGGCCACTTCCTGGAAGTTATACCCACACCTGTGCTTTCAGCTCCATTGGCTAGGTCTAGGTCACGTGACCCTATGTAGCTGTAAGGGAGGCTGGGAAATATTAGCCTTACTCTGAGGATCTGTGTGCCCTGCTGGAAACTTGGGGTTCTGTTACTGCGAGGAAAGGAGAGAGCAAATTGGTGGGAGACAGCTGCTGGCTTGCCATAGTCCCAGAGCTAATAAGTGGCAGAGCAGGGTTTCAAAGCCAGAGTCGCTTGGTTCTGGGCCCTGTGTCCTTTCACTGCCCACTTCGGGAGTCTGAAACCCAGGCCCTGGCCTCTGGGAATCCTTGCTGGGAAGACCTGGGCTATGTGAGCCAAGAATTGTTGCCTAGGAAGCGTAAGTCAGCCTATAATTAAACACTACATGGTGTGGTTTTAGCAGTGAGTACTATAATGTTTATAGGGTGCTTGGGGCCTGTCACTGTATAAACACTTTCCCGAGCGTGCCCTTCTGAAGAAAGTGCAGAAGGATATCTCTGCTGTGGTCTGTGCTGTAGCCCCAGCACTCAGCCCTGTGCCAGGCGCCACCTAAGTAGCTGTTCAGTTAACTTCTGGATGAGTGAATGGTTTCACGAGGTAGCGGGTGCTGTGTCCTGGCCTCCTTGATCAGGGTGGGGAATTCAAGGCCCAGGGAGGTTGAATCATTTTGCTCAAGGAAAAGAACTGGAAGTTGGCAGAGCCTGAATTTGAATCTAAGTTTGTGTGATTGTAGAGCTGGCACCTTTACTTCACCAAACAGGGCTGCTTAACCTTTTTTTTTTTTTTTTTTTTGTGCCATGGCTCCTTTTGCTGGCTGGAGAAGCCTTCTGGGCATAAGATTGAAAAATGCAGAGATAAAAATACATAGGCTAACAAAGAAAACCAATTCTATTGAAACATCGCCATCATCAAAATATTAAAACACAGATCTGTGGTCGAGCAATTTGCCTCTTTAACAACCTGTTAAATTAAATCACAGCCTCTGACTGCAGGTCTAGCAGTTATGCTACTTTTGGGGTAGTGACGAGGGTAAATGATATTTGGCGGTCCCTGCATCGACTGTGCCGTGATGGGAAGGTATGTGTGATGTCCATCGTGACAGATCCTAGGCACTAGGGAGTTGCTGTGTGGTCGTCTGCTTTGATAAGCAAAGGAATGATTACAGTTCACTTAGAGGCTAGTGGAAATTAAGATGTAATTTTTTTTTTCTCTATCCCAGCTCACATACCTC